TGATTTCCACACAACTTCAAAGTGCTGTTTGTCTTGAAGTGCTCTCTGGGTAATTAAGTGTTATTAAGGCAGCGCTGTAAGACCGAACAGTCGCTCAACGCAAGCAGAACTCTGGGGTGGAACGATCCTCCAAATAGCATCTCTCATAAGCCTGGGAAAAAACAAGAGAGCCAGAGACGCCAGCTGCTCTGATTCACAAAACACACGGCCAAAATAAGACTTCAACCTTCACCCCAAATAATACTGTAAAATATTTGCACTATTTAAAATAACTGTTATAAAGCGGATAGTTCCGGTGCTTGATTCTGATTGGTTGAGCCGCGTTCTAAGCTGTTGTAAATTACTCTACAAACATACACCTTTGTTTACTTCTGTGTTCCTAGGCAACCACTTTGTTGCAACTGTTTCTGAGGAGCTACATTGTTTGGTGGAAGAATACTGTTTTTATTAATATCATTACACTTTATTTGCTCTGTTTTATTTTGTGAAACCTTACTACGTATATGGAATAACCGTTTTATAAAAGCAATAAGCCCCGCTTCGCGTCGTACCTAACAACGCCCCTTAGCTGTTATAAATTCACTGTAAACCACGGCTTCTTATTGCTTTATTATACACATTGATATTTTTGTTTATGATATATAGTTTCAGATACACTACCATTGACTACCATTTGAGGTCTTTTTTAAAATTATAATTGTGTTTTTCTCTCAATTTATTCATTTATATTTTGATAATTCATTTTTTTACATTTTAGTTCTGTTATATGTTTCTGTTTTTAATTAATTAAAAAGAGGTCAGTAAGATTAAGAAATTAATACTTTTATTCAGCAAGGATGCATTAAATTGCTAAAAAAAATTATAGTAAAGATATTTAAATGTTTCAAAAGATTTCTATTTCAAATAAATGCAGTTCTTTTGAACTTTCTATTCATCAAAGAATCCTGAAAAACAAAATGTATCACCGTTTCCACATAATATTGGGCAGCACAACTGTTTTCAACATTGATAATAATCAGAAATGTTTATTATTATTATTATTATTAGAATGATTTCTGAAGATCATGTGACACTGAAGACTGGAGTAATGATGCTGAAAATA